CTGCCTCGGGGGGGGGGGGGCACTGCACTGTCCTGCCACCATGGCCTGCCAGGCCATCTCTTGCTCTCTGCCTTGGAGCCCAAGGAAGGGGCTGCAGGACCCTTGGCTTTGGCTGCCAAGGGCTAACCTGGCCTCACCCTCTGTTGCTCCCAGGCGGCTGCCGAGAGCAGGGGGAAGCACCGGCACACACCCTCCCTCGCTGGCGGGGGGACAGGGCAGCGCAGGCACGGCCACTCTGCCAACATGACAGCTCCCTGGTGCAGGGACCCCTCCCCGGAAGGAGGCTGCTGGACGGCAGCTGTGCCTCCAAGGGGATGCCCAGGGAGAAGGGGGTGGCAGCCAGCGTCCAACGCACAGTGCTTAGGGCTCTCCCTGGCTGCAGAGGGTGCTGGGATGTGATCAGGGTGAGCTGGAGGGTGGCAGTTCTCCAGGTTCTCTCCCAGCTCCTGCCAGAAAACATCAGCCTCTCCTATCTGCCCCCACTGGCGTCTCTGCCAGCTCCCGCCCAGCCACTGTCCTCCCCCTGCTCTCCACATTCCCGTGCTGGCTGGCTGGGCTGCTGCTCTTGGTCGCTCTCTAGCCTCCTTCCCTTCCCTCGCCTAGGCAGGATCTGGGCCGCGGCGTCTCCAGCTGGAGACCCAAGATTGGTTCCCTCAGATTGGTTCCCTCACTGTGGAAAAATGCTTTCTGGCCTGGGAACGGCGCCAGCTTTTTAACCCACTCAGCCGCGGGCACAACCCATTCCTTAGTCCGTGATGTTGCCCCAATACCCCTCTCCCCCCGCCCTGCCAGTCCCCAGCCAGAAGCACCAGAGCCTGCAGGCGCTCTCCCAGATGGGGACGAGGCAGATGGGAGCGTCCTGCACAGATTCTTGGCTTTCCCAAAAGCAACAGCCTGGTGCCTCGGGTGCCTGCCGGGTGCTAGGCACAGAGCCAGCCCCTGAGAAGTGGCTCTACTTCTCACCGAGCGCCGTCAGCTGCTCTGGGCGGTGCTGGCCGGTCGCTGGCCTCTTGTAGGTGGAGCCCAGATTTTGGCCTGGCTCCCTGCGCTGGGGCAGAGGGGACTCCGCCCCCTTCTGTGAAATGGGGCTAGCGCGTCCAGACGGAACAGGGGGTGGGGATGATAAATCTGTGACCGGGTGAAATCACAGAAGTCCCCTTGGGTTGCCCCCCCCGCCCCTGTTGTGCTGATCAAGCCACTGACATCCGCCTTCCTGCCCTGTGGAGCTCCCACCCCACAGTCCTCCTGGGCCAGACGCTCTGATCTCCCCCCAGCCAAGATACAGAGTTCGGGGAACCACCCCTCTGAAGAGCACCACAGACACTGGGCCAGTTCAGCTCCAGGAGGGCTCAGCTATAAGGGCTCAACACCCAGGAAACCAACCCCCAACAGGGACCCAAGCCCCCAAACAAATCCGTCTTAGCCTGTGTAAAAGGTGTACTCAGAGCTCGTAAGGTTCTTCCTCCCTCCCCATTCAGACGAGAGATCTGCACAATGCTTACTCCCACCACAGGTTACAATTATTTACACTGGGCTTGATAACAAACAAAAGTGTTGCTGTGAAGTATGGGACTGGAGTGAGCGTTTGCAAGTGAAAACAGACAGATCTAAGTGAGTTACTAAGCTAAAACGAATAAACCAGCTGTAGCTCCTTCGAATCCACTGAGAAACCTGTACATGCAAGTTCTTACCCTAAGCAGTAGTTCTAAGTGTCTCTTTCACAGGCTAAGCAGCCTCCTAGCGTGGGCCCGATCCTTCTTCCTGCTCAGTCTCAGATGTTTCCAGCTGGGTAAGGGGTAAGAGGGTCTCTCCTGGCATCTGGCATCTGCCCTGTTCTTTGTCTCCTTCCCCTGTCCCTTTTGCCCAAGGTGGGAATTCTTTGTGCTTTGCTCAAACTTTTCTCAAGCCCAAAACCAAAATGGGCTTCAGCAGCAGGTTTGTGGTCACATGACTTTCCAGGACCAACCACAGTTTGGGTTTACAGGACTGGGCCCAGCACAGGCAGGGAGAGGACTAAATCAGGCTGGAGGGAGGCTGCACAGAGCCCTGGCCAATCAGGGAGTGTATTTTAAGAAGCCAACCAGAGGGTAGCTTGCTGAGGCAGCTGGATATATAAGGAGCTGCTCAGCAGCAGGCAAACAGTAGGAGGGTGAGGTTTGGTCAGTGAGGGTCTAGGGCAGGGTTTGTGGGAAGACTGGCTAGAGGGAGGCTCCAGCCTGCAGGCCTTGCTGCAAGGACGTGGCCCAGGGAAACAAAGGCAGGATGAGGAGGGCAAGGCTGCTGCCAGAGGGTTCCTGGATTGGGACCCAGGGTTGTGGGTGGGCTTGGGTCTTCTCTTCTTCTCCCCCCTGCCCCAAGGTGTGGCCCATGCTGACTCTTTCTCGCACTCAGGGCTCAGCGCTGGGAGGAGATGTGTGAAGAGCTTGTGTGCTGGTGGAGAAAGGAACGTGCCAACCCTGCTGTGTCTCTCCTGCTAGTGCCCCAGAGGGACCAGACCGCATGCTTGGCAAGGTAAAGGTGGCTGGAGTGAGCTTTCCAGGCTGTGACGAAGTGGGGATTTTATTTGCCTTGTTTGGCTGTATGTGAGTTCTAGTGCCCTAGAGTAACCCCATGGGTGTGCCTCAGTTTCCTGGGGCACTGTAATACCTGGATGGTGATAGCTTCCTGCCTGTATGCAATGGCCAATGCCCCTTGTAACTGGAGCCTGGGGGGGCTTGCTGGCCAAGTGATGCCTTTGTCCTGGAATGCAGGCCAAAGGCTGGGGGAGCAGCCAGGCTGGGGATGGGGCAGTCTCAGCTGGCTTGGGAAGCCAGGAGCCTGGCTCTGTGTCCCCCTCTCCAAGATGGAAGGTACTGGCTGTTCCTGTGCTGACAAGTCTGTTCTGTGTTCCTGTTGACTAATCACCCTCCTGTTCTTCATAAGAGCAGCCAGCTGAGGCCAGACCAAAGGTCCATCCAGCCCAGTACCTGTCTGCCAACAGTGGCCAATGCCAGGTGCCCCAGAGGGAGTGAACCGAACAGGTAATGATCAAGCGATTTCTCTCCTGCCATCCATCTCCACCCTCTGACAAACAGAGGCTGGGGACACCATTCCTTACCCATACTGGCTAATAGCCATTAATGGACTTAACCTCCATGAATTTGAGTTCTTTTTTTAAACCCTGTTCTAGTCCTTGCCTTCACAACCTCCTCAGGCAAGGAGTTCCACAAGTTGACTGTGCTGTGTGAAGAGCTTCCTTTTTTGTTTTAAACCTGCTGCCCTTTAGTTTCATTGAGTGGCCCCTAGTTCTTATAAAGGGAACAAGTAAATAACTTTTCCTTCACTTTCTCCACACCACTCGTGATTTTTATAGACCTCTCATCCCTTCCTGCTGGCTGCGCAGCCCGGGGGAGCGGGGAGGTGCAGGGACCAGATGCTCCCTCACACCGAGACACCCAGGTAAAGAATTTGCTGCATGCCTTGGGGCTATATAAATAGCATAGTAAATGTGCCAGCCACCCACCCCATGAGGTGTAAGGGTTGTTTAAGAGCTTGTCCTCACTATTACATTTTCTCAGTGACACTCCTATAGAGACACATGCACAAATAAAGAGATGCCAAATTGCCAGAGGGTGTTCACACTTGCTCCCTCTGACAGATCATGCCCACATTGTTGGGCACAGTGTGTGTGTGTGTGTGTGTGTGTAGTGCCTGTCTCGCACAGTGCCTGGCGATGCAATCGGTAGGTGTTGTGTGGAAGGCAGCATGGAGCACCCTGGGACCATGCAAAATGTCCTGCCAGGTGTTGCTTTGTGTCCCAGCCCTCCAGTGGTTTCCATCTTCCTTTTGCACCATTTTCACAGGTGTGTGGATACCCAGGGATGTTTCACAGACAATGCAGGCTGGTCCAGAAAGGTGCATGATGTACACTTCCTCAAACACATGATTATGGGAGGATATGCAAATGCCCCTAAGTAATTTGGGGAGACCCAATTCATGTGTTAGGCAGCACTTGCTCAGCCTGTCAACAGCTGAATGGGCCTTTGGCTGATTAAAGGCACACTGGAGGTGCCTCTAGGGCAGGTTCTCCCTTGCTGAGGATACCATTTCCATGGTCATAGCTACATGCTACATCTTGCATAGTATCTGAATCCCAGGTCAAAATGTTTGCTCAGGGTGGAGCACTGAGCCAGAGCGCTTTGCTGCTGAATGTGAGCATGTAGTTACTGAGGCCTTCAGAGCAGCCTAGAGGGCTGTTAACATCAGGGTGGCTTTAAGGAATCCTAGAATCACAGTCCTTAGAACTGGAAGGGACCTTGAGAGGCCATTGAGTCAGTCCTCTGCCCTCATGGCAGGACCAAGCACTGACTAGCCCATCCCTGACAGGTCTGTCCAACCTGCTCTCAAATATCCCCAGGGATGGAGATTCCACAACCTCCCTAGGCAACTTATTCCAGTGCTTAACCACCCTGACAGGTAGGAAGTTTTCCCTAATGTCCAACCTAAACCTCCCTTGCTGCAGTTTAAGCCCATTGCTGCTTGTCCTGTCAGAGGCCAAGGAGAACAATTTTCCCTGCTCTTCCCTTTGACACCTTTTTAGATACCTGAAAACCGCTATCGTGCCCCCTCTTGTGTTCTCTTTTCCAAACTAAACAAGCTCAATTCTTTGTCTTCCTTCATAGCTCATGTTCTCTAGACCTTTAATCATTCTTGCTGCTCGTCTCTGGACCTTCTCCAATTTCTCCACCTTTCTTAAAATGTGGTACCCAGAATGGACACAATACTCCAACTGAGGCCTAACCAGCGCAGAGAAGAGCGGAAGAATGACTTCTCGTGTCTAGCTCACAGCACTCCTGTTAATGCAGCCCAGAACCAGGTTTGCTTTTTCCTCCTGACAGTGTCACTGATTCCTATTTAGCACTTGGGTAATGAGGGGTGTTAACATTGTATTTGTTTTTTAGAGGAGTTTCCTTGGTGCACCCCATGTAAAGTGTTGGGGCCACACATCCATGCAAGGAGCTGATTGCAAGGCCTGTACCTGGGATGGAAGTGTTCGCTGTATGTACCTGTGGAACACAAAATAAAAGTGCGTTCCCCTTATAACATTTTGTCTTTATTAAGAGACTGTACAATGGTGCTCACCAAAACACACCTTTGCCAGTAAGGGAGGGGCTTGTACAGGGTAGAACCTCGCTGCTGCATGTTGGTCTGACAACCGTTGTCAGATGGGGAGGAGGTGGAGTGAGGGGATGCTGAGGAGTCCTGTGAGGTGGAAAGGAAGGTGTGGGCCTAGAGTGCAGAGAATTGTGCACGTGCTACAGTGGAGCTGCTCACTCAGCCACAGCCCTAGCAGTCCCTCGATTCCCTCTTCTCTCCTGCCTTTCAGCTTCCTGGCTCTCCTTCTGTTCCCTCTCCTGTGCAGCACCTCCCTGAGCATGTGGTCTTTGCCCTGGTTTGTCTGCTGAGATGGGTGGCAGGGGCACATCTGCTGAGGCACAGAAGCAGGACGGTTACATTCCAGCACCTCTGGCCGGGGCCTAGTCCCCATCTCTGCAAGCCCCTGCAGCATGGTGAGGGGTACAGAAGGGCAGCTTTGCAGGGGGCTCATTTGGAAAGTACCCCCCACTTTCCACAGGCAGGGATCTCACTGCGCCGGGAAACAGGTACAACGACTGCCTACTTCTAAGCTTTGGTCCCTGTACAGATTATCCAAGAGGGCGGGACAGTGTTCTACAACGGGGGAGGGAACGCAGCTCCTTGCCCTGGGACCTGTGGCAGAGGATTAGCAAGTACCTCCAGGAAACTTTCCAGGCCTCCTCTCAGGAGGATTCCCTGGAGAGCACGGTGTCTGTCCACCTGCTGGGTCATGGCGACTAGGTAGGCAGGGCAATGTCTAGGTCAGGGCACCACAGCCAGCCTCCCCTTTTCTGCACCCTCCTACCCCCACACATGCCACAGCCACTTAGGGTACGTCTAGACTACAGCCTTTTGTGGACAGTATCTGTCAACAAAGAGCATCTAGATGACAGCCAGTTCTCTGGACAAAGCAAGCCACTTTGGTGACATGAGAGTGTAGACGCAAAGGACAGTGTAGATGCAATAACGCTTTCTGTCCACAGAACTGACAAAAGGCGTTATTCCTCGTAGAATGAGGTTAACAGCAGTCGACAAAACTGCTGAGTTCTGTCAACATTATTTCAACAGAACTCAGTGGCAGTGTAGACGCAGGTATAGTTTGGTGGACAAAACCTTGTAGTCTAGACACTCCCTTAATGTGCTCTTGTCATCTGCTTCCGGCCAAGCAGCTGCTGGGACTGGCTATTGCTCTGAGGCAGGGAGAACCGTTGCTGGCTGCCTGCCTCGTGGGTGACCCCTCTGGGAGCCCCCCCCCATCCTTGTCTAGCTTCATCACTTCATCCGGGTTGGTCCTGTCTCTGCTGCCCTCTGAAGTACACAGGAGTCTCTTGGTGCAGAGGTGGGGTGACAGTTGCATCGCATCCCACTCTGTATGGAACCGGTGGGCCTTGGGTGTGGTGCTGGGGTACACTGTCAGGCCTGCTCACCTGGGAGGATGCCCAGAGCCCTCTCTGTGCTGAGGCAGGAAATGGGATTTAGAGTGCCCAGGGTTGGCAAGGAAAGGGGGCGGATGGTTGGTTACTGGGCTGTAGGGCAGTGGTGTTCTAACAGTGACCAGAGCGGTCACCATGGGCCTTGTGGGACACTTCTGGAGGCCAATACCAGTGAACAAAAGCAAGTGGCAGGGTGGTCTACGCTGGATGTTGTTGACAATGAAGGGAGGGGAAGAGAAAAGTCTGTCATGGGGTGGAAGTTTTTTGTCCCCACAACTAGGCATGTTTTGCAGCCGAAGTCACGTTGCAGTGTGTACACTCGCTGCTTGGCTGCCAAGAGGCAGGTTGGGGCGACAGAACGTGCTCATGTAGACAGGGGCTACGTCTGCGCTAGGTGGATGCCTCTAGGGGTTTGCACCTCCCAGTGCTGCAGGCTGTCTCAAGTCCCGGGGTCTCACGCCAACGGCAGGAGCTCACGTGGCTGGTTCTTTCCCCTTTTGCTATGGCTTATTTGCCGCAGCGCAGTCGCCGCTGAGGGGATGGGCATGTGTAGCACAACCCGCCATGTTTGCACACCTCAGCGCTGGGGAGTCAGGCCCTCTTCTCCATCAGGCCGCAGGCTAGCAGGTCTGTGGGCCCCCTGCAGCAGGCCACAGGAACAGTCTTGACACCCTGGGCAGGATGCCGGGGTCGCGTCCGCTCAACCTGCTCGTGCAGCTCAGCACTCCACAGACAGCAGTGCCGCGGAAGGCGGATGCTGCAGTGAACCTGAGTCGGTGCTGACCCTGGCTTGTGGGCCGGCCGCTCCCTGGGCTGGATTTGGGTTGAGCTAAGCTGCCTAGTTACCATCCGAGTCCCTGGACGCCTGAGGGATAGTAAAAAATGACTGGTTGTTCCCCCTTGCCCTGCCACCTTCATTGCCTGAGTGTCCCTCTGGGGGGCCCGGGGTGTGGGGGGGGGTCTGGCTCTGTGCGCCTGGAAGGGGTGGGGCTGAGGACAGCCAGCCCCTGGTACGCCCTCCAAGCCGCAAGGAGCGTGCAGCACAGTGCTCTGGCAGCCCTTCAAAGAGGCCTGGGGCGCTCACTGCCACTACTGTGCCTGGCCCCTGTTGAATTGCCAGGGTCCGGCACAACTGCCCACCTTTGCAGGGCCTGATAGCGCTAGTTCTGTCTTCCTGCCCTGTTTATCATTTGCTGTGGGGATTCCGAGTGTTCAGGGAAAGGGCTGGCCCGGTGGAGGGGTCCCCTCCACCTAACCTTGGCTGCCAGCAAAGAGCCATTTGCCAAAGGTCCTTTGGAAAGGAACTGGCCCAGGCGCGTGACCAAACTAGGTCCCTGCTCGCCCTGCAAAGCTGGCATGGCATGACTACGCGAAGACCTTGGGCCTGGAAGTCCATATCGCACCGGGGGCCAGAGGCCTGCCGCTGCTAATGGTCTTTATGGCGTAGCCCTCGTGAACTTCCACCTACTCAGAGAATTATTTTCAACCCAGCAGCAAAACATTTAATCAAAACACGAGCTGCTATCTCAGTCATGGGCTAGGAGGCCACATGCCAGACAGCAGGTTTCAAGCGGGTTAACTTTGTACTGAGCAGATAACAAATTATCTTCCAAATACACATTTGATGTCTGCACTTTTGACTTTGCATTAGCTGCTCCTACCTTCCTCCCTAACATTTTGTACCACTGGGTACATTTCCTCCCCTTCACTGAGTAACCTTGGAGCCAGCTGCATTTAGGCAGTGGAAGGAGACTTTATCTTGACATGCGGCATGTCTTCCTCCTTGGTAGTTAGAGTGGAGTGTGTTTAGTGTGAAGTTAGTTTTGGGAATCAATAGGAAAGAGTATATTTCTTACAGCAGAAACAGACCATTTCTTTATTATTAGCACAGAGTGGATAATTCAGAGTAAATAATTGATCAAGCATATTTAACCTCTTTTTCTGCATGTGGAATATTTATGAGTTCTTCAAATTGCTAATGAATTTATTCAAGGGATTGTCTTCTGAATTTCTTTGCTGTCGGAATGGCTCACAAACAGAGCGAGCGCCACATTCATTAGGCATTCAAGTATTTGAAATTCCAGCAGTGTTGCCGAGTAGTGATGGGCTAGGTCGGTCAAACAACACGGTGTCTGTCACTTGACGGGCTGAATGCATTATGCTTTCCTGCATGAATTCATGAGCGTGAGATTTAGTAACTGCTTTCTGGGAATACTCATGCCTACAAGTCTTAGTGACACCAGGGTTTGTGTAAAGTGAACACAAAAGGGTGTGAAGGTGAGCTGACACATGCATTTAATGTGTCGAGTAAACAGGCCTACCAGCAGGGAGGGCAAAGGGGGCGGTTGCCCCAGGCCTGGCAATTCAAAGGGTTCAGGGCTCCTGATCATGAGCAGCGCTGTTACTCCCAAGGAGTCCACACCGGCACCGCACTTAGGCTGTGTCTACACTGGCGGCTTCTTGCGCAAGAACAGTCGCTCTTGCGCAAAATCTTGCCGGCTGTCTACACTGCACGCGCGGTCTTGTGCAAGTAAATTTACAGTCTAGCGCGGTAAAACAGGGCTTCTTCAGGAAGAGTTACTCCTCTCCCCACAAGGAATAAGCCCTCTTGCACAAGAGCTCTTGCACAAGAGCTCTTGCACAAGAGGTCAGTGTAGACAGGCAACATGAATTTCTGGCGCAAGAACCCCCTATGGCTAAAATGGCCATCGGAGCTTTCTTGGGCAAGAGAGCATTCACACTGCCATGGACGCTTTTGCGCGAGAAGAGGAAAAAGCACAGGTGCCCTAGTGGCCATTCTGTCCATGGCAATCACTGCTTACTTGCAAGAGAGCATCCAGGCAGTGTGGACACTCTCTTGTGCAAAAGCGCATTCCTTTTCCGATAGGCTCTTGCCGTGTGGACGCGCTCTTGCGCACGAGGTTTTTGCAGAAGATCTCCTCCGAAAACAGTTCTTGTGCAAGAAGCCGGCAGCGTAGACGTGGCTGTTCATGCCAGGAAATAGCAGGTCCCAGCCAAATGTCTTTGGCAGGCGGCAGGCTGAGAAATGCTGCAGAAACCAAACCTCCTGCATGGGCCAGGCCAACCGAACTGGACAAAGTGCAGAGCAAACACGGGTGGGGCTTTGTTTTTGGGACGTGCTCTGCAGGCCCCGGGTCTCACTGACGGAAGAATCCCAAGCATAGTTACAAGCTGGGGACCAACCAGTTAAGTGGTAGTTCTGCAGAAAAGGACCTGGGGGTTACAGTGGATGAGAAGCTGGATATGAGTCAACAGGGTGTCCTTGTAGCCAAGAAGGCTAATGGCATATTAGGTTGCATTAGGAAGAGCATTGCCAGCAGATCCAGAGATGTCATTATTCCCCTTTATTCGGCTCTGGTGAGGCCGCATCTGGAGTATTGTGTCCAGTTCTGGGCCCCCCACTACAAAAAGGATGTGGACGCATTGGAGAGGGTCCAGCGGAGGGCAACCAAAATGATTAGGGGGCTGGAGCACATGACCCATGAGGAGAGGCTGAGGGACTTGGGTCTGTTTAGTCTGCAGAAGCGAAGAGTGAGGGGGGATTTGATCGCAGCCTTCAACTTCCTGAAGGGAGGTTCCAAAAAGGATGGAGAGAGGCTGTTCTCAGTGGTGACAGATGGCAGAACAAGGAGCAATGGGCTCAAGTTGCAGTGGGGGAGGTCTAGGCTGGATATTAGGAAAAACTATTTCCCTAGGCGGGTGGTGAAGCACTGGGCTGGGTTCCCTAGGGAGGTGGTGGAGTCTCCATCCCTAGAGGTGTTTAAGTCTCGGCTTGACAAAGCCCTGGCCGGGGTGATTTAGTTGGGATTGGTCCTTCCTAGAGCAGGGGGCTGGACTTGACCTTCTGAGGTCTCTTCCAGTTCTATGATTGCAAACTGCCCCTCTGCTTGTGGAGGGAGACGGGGAAATGAACGCCGCGAAGGGAGGGGATGACTCCTTGGCAGTGCAAGGGCTGGGCCCAGCTTGGGCTGGCTAGATCTTTGTTTACGACATTTCCTGAGCTGCTGCTCCCACTCCCTGTGCTCGGCTGATAATGGGACGCAGCAGGGCGCTGGCCAGGCCACTAGACAGGCGGCTGGGGACTGATGCACCGTGTGACTCCCAGATCTTCTGCGATGTAAATATTCACCTGTGTTCCCATGAGGGGAGTTCCCCTCCGCCCAGTGCCTTTCTTCTGTGTGCTCACCGCCCAGGAGGCAAGAACGAGGGGGACGGGTTTTAACCAGGCTGCCACCTTATCAGTCAAAGTGCATCTCAGGCTCCTGGAGGGGGCAGTCGCTGGGCAGCGCCTTGCACCTCACTGAGCCCTTGCCACGTCTCTGGGGGCGCCCACCACACCCCCGCGGGGCACCTCAGCACCCCCCAGCAATCTTCCCTCTGGCGCAGCATGGCAGGGCCTCACCCCCTCCCAGCAGCACCGTAAAGCTGAGGGGGTCACAGGCCCCCGGGGTCCGACTTTCCCTGGGGAGGTTCAATGAGGGGGTGCCCGTGGGGAGCCCAGATGACCCTTGCCACGTCTCTGGGGGCGCCCACCACACCCCCGCGGGGCACCTCAGCACCCCCCAGCAATCTTCCCTCTGGCGCAGCATGGCAGGGCCTCACCCCCTCCCAGCAGCACCGTAAAGCTGAGGGGGTCACAGGCCCCCGGGGTCCGACTTTCCCTGGGGAGGTTCAATGAGGGGGTGCCCGTGGGGAGCCCAGATGACCGAGTTC